ATCTATTTTACACTTATTCCACTAACGTATTTTATGATTCAGAGGGAGGAACAACGTTGAAATTGCAGTTCTTGCTTGTACTAGCAATTGTTAACAGTGTGAAAGAGGTAGAAATGTAAAAAGGTGTTTATGAAGGATACAAAATGACACCTCATTTAGTGACTTTTTCTCTCATTATCTTTTTTTTTTTGGATTATAAAATATGATGATTTTGTCCTGGGTTGATTGCAAAGCTAGTTAAAAACAAAAACAATCCCCCCACCCCACAAAACCATACTGAAGCCCAGATATAATATAGTTCAGTTTAGATTCTAACTTTGCCTGAAATAAGTAATGCCTGTTGGCCTCTGTTTGATCCTATGAGAGTGTGGGGCTAATGTCTGGCCAGTGTTTTGGAAGCAGCAGGTAGTCAGGAGCAAGCTGCTCGAGGGGTCCACATTTCTGTAGCCTGGCAGTTATTCACAGACAGATGGGGACCTTATGAACTTTGGCAGAGGTCATGCTAAATTGCAAATCTAAAACTTCTAGACTTCTGAAGGCTTAGGGTGACACATTATTATTTTTTTACGTGTGCAATTAGAACATTGTTGAAGTTATAAACTCAGTTTTAGTAGATGATCAGCCATGCATTCACTGTTTAAACAAGTTATCTTGGGGACAGATGAAGGCAATCTTGCATAATACTTTAAATTGAAACTACTGCATATTAAAACATTGATTTACATATGTAGATCACACTTGTTAGATTGCTGCCCAAACACCTCAGTTTGTCTGCTTCTATTGAGCTTATAAAAGGATTTTAAAATCTGAAAGCACTGCAGAAGCCTCTGATTTTCGAGATGCACGTAGTTTGGAACGAATTAAGATATTCATAATCATTTTTGATTTCAAGTCTTTTGGGGTAATCAATTGAGATACCAAGATCTATGTCATCTGTCATCAGCCATCATCTCACCAGGGATCTTATAGCAGCTTTGGAAAGAAAAAACATGAGATGATCTGGTTTCACATTGTAATGTATTACATTACACATTCAGTCAAAGCCAGAGAACATTGAAGAGCTACTTCTTTGTGTTCTAATTACAATCCTGAAGCTGCATTTAAAAAGATGAAAATCTGTCATACTTTAACTTCTTGTATTTTCTATTCAAATGGGAAAATTGGTGGGGGGGAGCAGGGAAGTTGGTACATTTAGACTTGGATCCCTGCTCTGTAATATCTAGGATACAGATCATACTTGTCTGCAAGTCGCTTTCTTTTAACTTTCATATTGTTCTTTTTTTTTTTTTTTTACTAAATTTGTTTAGTGGAGATAGGTGAAACCAAATGAATGTTTTATGAATGTAAATATCCAAGGAGCTTAGATGTCTTAGTTAATAGGTGGTATACAGGCTGATCTTTTAATCAAATGGTCAATGTGTCATTAGTGAACTAGTTGAGTTCACTGTGCTGGTTAATGGCTCATGAACTATTTTATAAAGCTACAGCAACATGTTTCAATGACGTCAAAGTCTGATTCCATGTGTTGAAAGTGGTTTCAGTATCGGCCACACAGAGAGCCAGAAAATTCACACCAGCAGCAGGCTGTAAGAGGAAAAAGGTTTTAAAGCTGTTTGAACTGGGTCATGCATAAGATAACAAGAATGTTAATCATTCTTCTAAACAGGAGAATTACAAAGGGAAAAGAACTAGTACACTTAAAAAGACTCCCTCATATTTACTGTACTATTGGTTTCCTTGTGGCTATATCTCCATTTCAGAAAGAAAATGTAAATAGTTAGATTTACAGTTGCAGTTTGACTATACAAGCTAATAGAATGCAGGTGATACGGCAAGTTCTTATTTTCATTATTTAAAATTATGTTTATGAGTAGGATCAATTAAGCAACTTCTTCTATGAAATACCTTAGTTTAATGTGGTGCGTTATTCTCTAGCCATTCCTATATTGTGCTGGCAGTACCTCTTCAAATCTCTTGTTAAAGTTTTCTCCAAACTGAAGAATTGAGATGTATATCTCTGATAGAAGTAAGCTCCTTACCAGACACACTTAAATTATCCTTTTTGGAGATGATATATCTGTGATACCCAAAAGGTGATTTAAAAAAAAATCTTTGTACCAAGTCGCAGTTGTATTCAAATTCAGAGAGGAAGGCATTATATTCGCTACCTCATTTCCCCTTTCTTTTTCTGTGTGTTCCTTCATTATACCCAACCTTGCAGTCAAACTGCAGAGACTGAACACTGTCATACTGTTTATGTAAATCAATGGTTACCTAATTATAACTATTTTAATTATAAACATGTCTGTCCAGCGTTCTTTAGTGCAAGTTTGCTCAGAGGTATTGCCTCCATCATAAGTTATGGTTATGAGAAGGCATTTTGATTTAAATGCAGAAAAACAAATTGATTAGATTGCCTACTGTATTCACTTGATTCTAAGATGAGCTCTCCCTCATTTAACATATGGGAAAAACCCCTTGTTTTAGAAATAAGTGAGGGGGGAGGTGGCTGCTGTGGCTTGGGCTTCAGCCCCTACCCGGGGTTAAGGCCATAGCTATAGCTGTTGCTTGCCCCTGCAACCTCTGCTATCTGCCTTCTTCCCCTATCTCCCCACCACACAGCCTCCGCTCTCAGACCTGCCTCTCTACCTCCCCTCCCTCCCCCCTTGCTTTTGCTACTTGCTGGCAGCTCTGTCCATGCTGCAGCTGAGGCACTAAGCATGGCCCCATATCAGGCAGCCTGCATGGCTACTACATGAGCTGGGCTTGGGCAATGCTCACTGCCCCAGGCTACAAAGGGAATGGAGCCTGTGGGTGCAGAGGAAGAGTAAGGGGGAAGAATTGGGAAGCGGAGGCTATGGTAGGGGGGAGCAGCAGATGGAGGCAGAGGGAAGGCAGGGAGCAGAGGCAGGGGGAGGAGCAAAAGTGGGAGCTGATATGGAGAGGGAAGGGGGTCTTGAGGCTGCAGGCGGGCTGACAGGGAGAAGAGGTGGCTGGGGCCTACCTGAACTCCTCACATTACTTGCCCCAACGCCCCGCTGCCTTCCCTCGGTGCAGCGGTGGGGGGATGAATTAAAGACTCCAATAATTAGATTCTATATCTGGAAAATTATAACAAACTTATGACTGTCCAAGAAGAGTGGCAGGTGTACAAGAAGAGTGGTTGCTCCTTAAGGAGACGATCCTCCAAGCCCAAAGGGAGGTAATCCCAACACGGCTCAAAGGGAGCAGGAGGGCACAAAACCCCCATGGCTCACCAAAAGCATCCGGGAATGTCTTCAAGCTAAAAGGGAGGTGTACACCCAATGGAAGGAAGGGGCCATCACCAGGGAGGATTATACTGCGGTTGCTCAGGGATGCAGGGGGGCAGTCAGGAAGGCCAAGGCGGAGATGGAACTGGGACTAGCTTCCTGGATCAAGGACAATAAGAAGTCCTTTTTTAAATACATAGGGGGCAAAAAGAAGGTACTGGGTAACGTGGGGCCCCTGCAAAACACGCTAGGAAATTTGGTCGTCACACCAGACAACAAAGCTAACCTATTTAATGACTTCTTTGCCTCCATTTTCCTAAGCAGGGACCAGAT